TACACTTTTTCCACTTCGTCATCTTCATACTCTGATGTTGGCATGGACACTTGCATAATCACTATATCTACTGGTTCCGCCTTTAACTTCAGAGCAATAATTCTGTCATCACAAACAATCTTCTTAACTACACTTCTCACTACACTTTTATGCGCCACTATTGCCACACCTCCTTCAGCCCGTTCACCTCCGAAATAATACACTGTACACTGCATAATACTGATAAAATACTTTTTGTAGCATATGTAATGCTTATTCAGTGCTCAGCAATGAAAACCTATTATAAACATCATGTTCAAAATTTGAATCACTGTCTTCAGGTCCAGAACTGCTCTCTAGTTTATATTTTTCATAAGCTTCATCACCATCTGCTTGTTCACTTGTTTTGCCTTGGATCAATTGAACAAGTTGAACATCAGCATGCCCCTCCCAGTAATCTCTTCTACTATAATAGCGAGGAGGATGGAGACATAAGCAGATCTTTCCATCTAATGCCTTGCATAATAGGTCATTGGCAGCAAGATATGGATTAGGACGACCTGTTCGATCTGTATGGAAACCTTGCTTCAAAGCCCAGCTATCACAGATATCCATAGCAGACCACCATTTGTCAAGTTCAGGATGCTGCAGTTTAAGCAAATTAGGCAGGTCTAGTCTTTCAGCCAAATACTGAACTGCAGAAAAGGGTACTCTCACTTGTGCAATTGGGTAACTTCCCATAAGAATCTGTAATGTCTTTGGGACTTTGGAAGGAAACACAAGACCTGGACAGTCACACAGCCTTACATTACGAGTTAGGTAGATGGTCTGGAAATGTTCCGTGTGCCCTGGGGTGCTAGGAACACTCACAACGTTCTTTCCCATAATTGCATTTATAAGGGAAGACTTCCCTACATTTGGGTGCCCAATGAAGCCTAATGTTAAGGTTCCAGCTTTATATTTTTCGTGGTCAAAATACCCCGTGTCCTCTTCCCTCATTACAACAGTGTCACCCACCTCAATATCTTTGTCATCAAAATCCAGGTGCATTTCTTCCGATATTTTCTTACGCCATGCACTCAAATCAACTTTATTATTGGTGATACACTTGCAAGCCTCAAGTAGTGTCTTTGCTCCTTCAGCTGCCATTCGAAGCTTCCCTCGTCTATGACAAATTTGTAGACCAGCCTTGTTCTCTTGAGTGCCTGTCAGGTTGTAAGCAGGGAATGAAGTGAAGGTAAGAATAT